AGAGCTGTAGCAAATACACATCAGTGTGGATTAGATAGCAGAACAGTGCCAGAAAAAGGCACAATAAAACTACCTCAGTGAACTGCTACCTTGACTTACTGATAAGAAAAAGAAAGAGCATTGTCCTCTGCTGTCACTTGAACCAAAATTACTTCTTTTTTCATTATCTAGATCAGATAAGTTTTTATCTTTCCTTTTCCATAAGGCAGTTCCTGTGATTTTCTGACAGACAAACATGCAGCACAATTAAATCTTAATAGCAGTGCTTATACTGATTTATGGAAAAATGTTCCTGAATGTTTAGATCAGTGCATGCAAAACCACAAAAAAGGCTGTGTAGGTCACAGGTACATAAACCGTGCAAAGGAGGGCACTATGAAGAGGGGAACACTATTCAGTAAGGCATAATTGGGTGAGCCTGTGAATACAGGAATCTAAAAACATAAGCAAACCACATTTTTTTCTGCTATTTTCCTTTCTCATGCACAACGGGAAAGGATTGTGCTGTATTTTCCCGTTTCTTAGTTCAGTCCTTTTTCACTAGTAGTGACTCCAATGAAACTTAATTTCTCATAGCAAGCTCTTTTTAGACTGGAGATAAAAAGGAGTGAAAGGAAGTTCTTGAATAATGGATATGGAAGTGTTTTGTCCTGAGCCTGTGTGCCAAGGAGGTGTTGTTCTCCATGTGTATGTGACTGAGGACATAAGTGTTACTATTTTGGACATACAAAGAAAAGGATAATTGGAGCTTAAAGTTACCATACTTATGAAATTTCTTTAGCCAAAATAAAATGAATTGAAGGCTGAAAAAAAGAGTAAAGCAAAGCAATGGCTGAGATAATAGCATCTAATCCTGAGGTGTATCAGAAGTGATGATAGTCATAAGTTTTCAGAGTCAAGCTGAGCACCTTCATTGTTTTAGCAGTGACAAACCAAAGATGTGTGAAGAAATAACATGCTTTTATTTATTTACCCTTCTGGGATATACTGAGTTGCAACAGGACACAGTGGTGCAAGGAAATAGAAAAACTGAGGCAGGCAGAAAATAAGGAAGTGCATCCTAGGAGGCAGCAATGGCCGAAGCACTCTTGCCTTGCGTGTATCACTAAGCTCAGGCAATGTGGAGCAGGCTGGCAGGCGCTGAGATCAGAGTCTGCCCTAGAAAGTGCTCATTCTAAAGCCTGTCTACAGTATCTGCTGCTGGCAGAAATCTCCAGCCTTATAAACAGAGCCTGGAAACTGAAATAACCTGGAAATGACCAGAAACTGCCAGCAGGCATCAAAAGAAATACTTGCATTTATGTACTTGTTAAGAGGCAGCAGGAGTCTCAGTCTTGTCAGAGTATCACCCTCAATTATTTGCTTTAAAAATACAATATTTAGCATAGGGCTGGAATACTGTGTGATAAATGAGAGACACACAGTGCTGTCAGAGAGATGGCTTCATGTAAAATTCACCGAGGTGTGTCTGTTATGACCTGATGGCCATTGCCATTTCTGTGACCTGTTGCTTATCATGACCAAAGAGTCAAACCATTTATAAATAACTTTACAGGAGGAACTGGAATAATGACCAAAATCTCAGTCACAAATATTCAAAAGCAGAGTAACAGGATAATGTTGTATAATTAATTATTTGCTGAAAACTCTTTACACAGCTGAACAGGCTGAGAGAGTTGGGCTTGTTTAGTCCGGAGAAGAGAAGGCTCGAGACACCATAGAACAGCCTTTCAAAACCTTAAGGGACCCTACCAGAAATTTGAAGAGGGACTTTATACGAGGGCAGGTAGTGATATGACAAAGGGGAATGGCTTTAAGCTAGAAGAAGGGAGATTTAGATTAGATACTAGGAAAAAAAAATCATTACTCTGAGCGTGGTGAGACACTGGCGCAGGTTGCTCAGAGAATTCATGGCTGCCCTAATCCCTGGCAGTATTAAAGGCCAGGTTGGATGGGGTTTTGAGTAACCTGGTCTAGTGGAAGGTGTCCCTGCCCATGGCATGGGGGTTGGAACTAGATAATCTTTAAGACCCCTTCCAACCTATACCAATATATGATTCTATGATTTCTTTTGCACTCAACATTTCTGCTTCTGAAGTACTTGCTGTCCGTATCACCACATCGTTTCTGAGATTCTTAGCCACTACTAAGGCATAATCAAAATAAAACATGTTTTTCCTCTTGCTTGGGAAGAAGTACTGTGCAGTTCTGTAACAGGTATAGCCTTTTCATCCTTTTCTATGCCATACTGCACAGCATAGAGGTACCACTATCTCTCTATGCTTGCAACACATGTGAAATACTACAGGTACCCAGAACAAAGATGAAATGCAACAGCACAGGCACTTGAGATTAATTGCCTGCTTTGGGGGAGGTCTGGCGGAGGCATTGAAACATTATAAAATAGGTGATTGGCTCCAGCAGTGTTTCCGAGCACCTGCACAAGGCATCAATGCTCCCACAGTACAGTCAACAGAGTTAAATGGTCTGAAGTTCAATGGGAAAAGCAACCTACTTCCTTTACCTGCCACCCACTTAACTAGGGGTTATCTGGTTGGACGAGGCCTTGGGTGATATGGTTTAGAGTGAGGTGTCCCTGCCCATGGCAGGGGGGTTGGAACTTGATGATCTTAAGGTCATTTCCAACCCTAACTATTCTATGATTCTATGATTCTGGAGCTTGGGCTTCTGACCTGTAGTTGTTCATTAAAGTACAGTTTGAAAAAAAAGGCTTAAGTTCCCAACTTTCCATTGTGGAAAAGAAGAGATCAAGTACTTTGTTCTGAGCTTACCTATTTCTGCCTGTTCTGAAACCCAGAGCGTGCTGTCCTCTTCCCACCAGCCTTCTCTCTGTCTGAAAATGTGCTGGCCAGTGGCAGCAGTGGTACAGCCACCAGCATCTGGCATAAAAACCTAGTTGTTAGAGTACTGACTCAGGAAGCCAGATACCTACGTTTGCCAATAATGGAACACAAGGGTAGAACGCGAAAAGATATCCAGGAGTGGTCCTACAACATCCTTTCCCTCTTATTTTTCCTCCTACCCTTGTGGTTTGGATTGGGAAGTGACTATTACAGGTCCCTTTTATGGTGAATCCAAGTTGTCATGTGTGGTTTAGCCATTTTTATAGCACAGATAAGGTTCAAGGCCCAGAGGCAAGGATTGAGTGTTTCTCCCCATGATTTCTAGATGAGAGCAGAGGCTGGGTGGAAAGCCACCGGCATGTGGCTTTCAGGCCAGACAGAGAAGAGCATAGGAAGTTTTAGGTGTCTGTGACGTTGATTGGAAGATGTCTGTGTGTCTTTCGCTTCAGTGCCTGGATACTGGAAGTTCTAACCAGAGTTTTAGTTGTCCCACTGACAAAAATTTAGCATGCAAATGCTTATCATCCTCACAAACATTATTTTTGCCTACCTTATTGCTTAGTTGTTAAAAAGGGACCTTTATGAAAAATGTACATAATTTAGAGTCATGACTTCTGGGTAATGTGTTGCTGTTTGTAGGAGTAAATATTTTTCCCAATAAGACACAGAGATTATTATAAATTAATTGACATAGGAGAGAATGGTCAATGTTACAGTTTCCATGCCATTCTTCCAGTGCACATTCATTTCAGTTGAGGGCTGGTGGGGTCAGGGAGATTTTGTCCCAATGCCCCCTGATTAGGTACAACTGTGAAATAAAATCTGTATCTAGTGATGCCATGGGACAGGTACCTGAGACATTTCTGAAGAAGGAGGAGTCTACACAGGAAGTCGAAAAAGTGTCAGACTCTGACAGAGCTAATAATTTAGACTTCAAAAATCCTTTACATCATTTTGTCATCTTGATAGCAGGTTTCTGTCAGTATTAGAAATGTAACATTTACCAAATGGCAAAATCAAACAAGCAGTAAAGAAGACTAATATTTACTGTACATTTGAAGCATGTAAGGGGTTTGAAAGATTGAGTGCAAAATCTTGGGAGAAAATGGATTATTTGTAGGTTTCCAAGGGCAAATGGAAAATGCAGTTATATAAATCAAGAGAAGTTGCTTTGAAATTTTCCTTTTCACTTTCAAAAACTGCTGTGCCAAGATGGCCATTTTATTTGACCATTATGAAGGACCCAGAATGCTTCCAGTGCAAATGCATTCAACTGCTGGTGCGCTAGAACATTTTTGTGATTCATGTTTTTATTCTAATATTTTTACTAGTTTCTTGGGCTTTGGCCTCAGACCAATTTCTTGGTACATTTGAGGTCTAAACCACAGAGAGAAGGACTGAAGGGGGTTATTCATGGGCTTGGCTTTCTACAGGCTTTACTTTTCTGTTTCCCTAACGTGCTGGTGGAACTGTCTCCAAAGCCAGCTCTATGATGCCTCATTTGAGCACATGCAGCACATCAGAATTTGTCAGTGAAAAGGAGCAGTCCATGTAGTCCAAATCCCAACATAGGAGTTTATACAGCTATGACGTCGTATATTTGTGTTGTGCAGTATTCCAAATAATATTCTAGAATATTATCTATGTTCCCCTGGAGTCTCAGTTTTAAGTAAAAAGCTCGATTTTTCAGTGATGTGTTGGGAACAATATTACTTAAGCAGCAGAATTCTGGGAGTGGACATTCACTCCAGCCTCTGTTTTCTCTTTGTGCGATGTCTGCCTGGTCTAGGTTCTTGTTAATGTTTACCTCTTGGTCACTGATTATTTTTTAAAGAGAAAATATGATCTACCATGATCCAGAATTCCCACTACATGACACCTGGGCCCTTAAGCTTTGTCTTTGCTCCCATGTAAATTAATGGGAGAGCTCCTGATGACTTGCTTAGCACCAGCTGGGACTTCTGCAGAGGAATTTGAGTTGAAGGAGGAGTTTTAAGTGAATGGGAAAATCTGAAAGTCTCCTCCACACTGAGGCTATGTGCGAACTTTGCAGTAAGTGTTCCTCAAGCTTGTCTAAGTCCCCTGCAATTGTTTGGGGTAACTTAAAATTCCTAATTGTCTGTGTTCAATTTCCAGAGAGAGCATGTGGGGCTGTGCCAGGTCAGCTGTTAACCCTTTTCGTTTTTTCAACTCCAGGTATGAAGCATTTTATTGTGTATTATATAATGTTCTGTTTTATTGACAAAGTCTAGTAGCAGTGCTTTTCAGCTTTTTTTCCCTCTTACTATCACGGCTGGGGGATATGCGGGCCTAGGCAAGGTCTAATGTTGGTTTGTGTTACTGCTTTTAGTATTTTGGGGCTGGGAGGGTGGTGGTGTGCATCATGGGAAAGCTGCAAATTTTTTTTTCAAAATCCCAATGACTAGAATACCAAACCAGAAAAAAAGAAAATATTCTGTTAGATGTTTGATAATGCAGTTAAAAATGTGCAAACTGTCTACTGAAATTGAGTAACGAAATTAAATGTGAATCAACATAGCTGGTTATAATGGGTCATTGCCAGTTACCATGAAACAGTACACCAGCAAAGCTGTGAATGTAGGAAAGAGATCTTTGCAAATGCCTCCTTGCTTGTTTTTCAGAGATGCCAGAATTTTAAACCCTTGTTCTGTAATTCCTTAGTAGATACCCTGCTTTATAGTTTATATACAAATCCAATGGGGGGGCTGACTGGGAGGTTTCAGTAAGAGCTGTGATTCCGTAAGGTGCTTTGGGTTCACCTCACTTGCCCAAGGAGAAATATTGTATGACAGAAGGGATGTACCAACTCTGATAGGATTCCTTTTTTTGTTGGCTTTGTTGCTGGTGGTTTATTGGGCTTTAAAATAGTGTGTGATCAAATGTCTGCTCTTAGTGGGCTTGCTTGCTTGTTTGTCCTTCCCCCTTCATTTGTTTGTTTTGTGGGCCCCTAGAAAGATTCCTTTGCAGTTGTGTTTGTCATGTGATAAGTGTATACACCTCAACTCACTGCTTTATCTACTCTTAGTAATCCATGGGCCCTCCTATGTAGAGTACAGAAGGAAAAACAACTTCAGACATTCAGCATAAGCAAATAAATTGCAGAATAAACTTAATTCTTCACATTTATAAGTAGAGTTAAATTCATAATGAAATTAAGAAGACGGCACGTTTAAGAGCAATTACACTTTCAGATTGCTAATGAGTAGTCGAATACAGAAATCGTTCCTCAAATCTACTCCAATTTGCAGTTAATTGCATTACAACTGGTATATTTATATTAAAAATGTGCAGGATCTTATTACTCAAACATTTTCAAAGCAGCAGCAGGCAGCAGCAACTTCTCTGTTAAAGCCAGTGCAAAGTTTTTAAGGTTTCCATGGAAATGGAATAGAGCTTATAAGATTATTAAAAAAAATAATAAATCCTTAGAATTTTCTTTGTTCTGATTGAATTTATCAGTGCAACTTCAGAACTTATAATCAAGAGCCTACTAGTTTCCCAAAATGTTGTATTTCTAGAATAAATTTGTATTTCAGATACTATTTTGAATGCAAGGCTACTTTAGCGAAAATCAGCAATAATCTATATAATCACCAATTCTATTAGCCTCTGTTCTATAGTAGGAAGCATTTTCAAGAAGGAGGCTTGAAAATGTTGTCAATTTTTGCTCTTTTCTCAGCATTGCTCATTAATTTATGCATGTAGAGTTTACACATACCACAACAATGAATAAGAGCTCCTACTAATGAGGTCCCCTGAATAACATTCATGGTTAGATGTAGATGAAGATGACATAAGTTATCTCATGTACCAGTTCTAAACCACTGAAAGTTTGTTGGCTCTGACTGGAATGAGATGAGTTTGAAATATAATATTTTGGTGAGGCCAATAGCTGGTAATAAAACCAGAAACTTGTAAGAGAGGGATAAGGTCTTCTATGGGTTTTTAAAATAAAGGACCAAATTATTCAAGAAATTCACAGCTGTCAAATCTCATTTAGGCCATGAGGATCTGTCTGCAGAGTGAAAGGTGGAAATGAGACCAGTAAGATGAATATTTCAGTTAGTGTATCATTTGAAAGTATGAATTCTTACGGTGCACTTAAAACTGCTCGTTCTTCTAGGGAATATTCCTCACAGCTGGTCTTGCTTCTTGGAGTATAGTACTATTGCAGTTTAGGAGCAGTAACTGCTTGTCAGAAGTGAATTGTGCTACAATTAAGTACAGCTTAGTGAGTGTCTGTATTTCATTTGAATGAAATTTCATGCCTTTCTAGTTTTGGGTTTTCTTTTTCAATTTGGCATTACTAAAGTTATCTTTTTCACTAAATTTCAAGAAAATTACTCTTCCATAAAACAATGGTTTTAATTATGTTATACCAGTTATGAAAGTACAGAAATATTCTTAGATACTTGATTTTTTTTTTTATTATTTTATTTTTGTGGTGGGGGGAACAGAATGGATCATGAATTCTTGGAGAAATATTCTTTGTAGGCTCCTTTTTCTGTTGGTCTCATGAAATCTACTGAAATCTGTAAGTTTTACTCAAAACCAGTTCCACACGAATGTTCTGCATCTGCTGACCAATGTGGATGGCCATAAGTTGGGACTGTCGCTGCAATTCATACATGTCTAACTGTTCTTTTCCTGCAAAATGTTGAGCATTTTGTCCTTACTGCTTCCCCTGATACAGAAGTGCGCTGATCTGCCGTTTCACTGGTGTTATCACATGTGAGTCTCAGATGTTAGTGGGCACAACGTGCCTCCTCTTCCTTGGTGTCTTGCAAACAGTACTGCTTTTGCTTTTGTGTAATTTACCCCTGTTCTTCTTTTTAACACCTTGTTCCAAAGGCTCAGCCAGATTGGAGATGTTTGGCAGCTGGAGATGCCAAATTCTGGAATATAACTTTCCTGCATTGGCACATGGGTTCATGGCTGGCTTCTTGGCTTACACCTCTGCTTGGCTAGCTGTGTAGCTGGCAGCTGTAGCACTGCCTTTGGGGCTATATTAGGGTCAAGCTGCTATGGAGTTGGATGACTTTCCAGATCTGAATTACCCTGCTGGACACCATTTTCACCTTAGTTTGCTTTGACTCTGCTATTCGAAGATGGATGTTTGCACTCTTCTGTTTTATTCCTGCCATTTGTAAGGCTAACTTGAAGCAGTAGTTCTCTTTTGTCACCACTTCGAAAAGAAAAGCAGCATCGCAGAGTGTACTCTTTCACTTGTTAAGATTCCCATTCAGTTAGCAGGAATGTAAGGCCCAAGTCTGTACTTGCAATTCATCTCTGGGACCAAACTGTGACTACAGAGCACAGGCTTTAAAAAAAAAACACGTTTCTTAAGTCTAAACTTTGCTTTCAGCCATGAGTGAATCTGGCCTCTGTCAAACACAAAAATAACACCCATTTAGGGAGACTATCCAAATATTTTTTTTAAAGAATAATGATGATGATAATAAATAGAATGTTACTGATAATAATTACAAGCACTGCCAGAAGAAAATACTTAATCTTCTCTTTACTTGATGTGGAATGTCCTCATTACATTACCTTAGATTTTTTGGTTTGGTTTTCAGTTGAGTGCTCTTTTTCTTTCTATAAATGAGGTGGTGAAAAATTAATGCATCTAGGATAGCCAAAGCATTTGAAGTAATTCCCTAATCTACATCCTTTCCTCCATGCAGCTTGGTGCATAAACATTACTTTCAGTGGGAAAAACTGCAAATTCAGGAGGTTACTGAGACTCCAGATACTTGCAGTAAAGTGCAGATTAGTCATACTTGCTATGACTAATTTTCATTCCCTCACTCAGCTGTAGTGAAAGTACATTGTGCTACACTGGAGGCACTGGTATCTCTGTGACACACTCAGGAAACTTTACTAACACTTGAGCAGATAGATAGCACTTGTGCCTTACTTGGACACAAAGTAGGTTTGTGTCCTGTATGTGTCCTGTTTTCAGGGTGAGGAAAAGCACCTGAATTCCCCCATTGCATGTTTCAAGAGCAATCTGAAAGGAGACCCTACCCATCTGGTTTAGGTGTATACTTCTCTTCACTGATGGCCTAAGGGATGTTAGTGCTTCCGTAGGAATACAGCCTGGTTATGTTACCTAAGTCATTATGGACTATATAGGAATAGGAAATAAGCAATAGGAAATGAAATATAAGTGATAGGAAATAAAAGCATCTGTTTCACTCGGATGTATAGCTCTTTCTGGACAATATTGGAGCAGAGATGATTCTACTGAAAAGCAAGCTGGCAGCAGCAACAGCAGTGTTCCCACCTCTGCAGGAGAACTTCATTAACTAGCTTGTCAACAGAGAGAGAGACCTGAGGTTCTCAGCCCAGGCATCATGGGGATGTTATAATCATTGGGATCCTTGGCACAGACCTAATCAGATGAGATACTTGAGGAGCAGTGGAGTCTCTCACCTCACTTTTTGCTGAATATGGGCCATTGTATAGACAAAAGCACAGAAGTCACAGGTTGCAAAGGAAAGTGAGTAAGAAGAGCCTGAATCCTACCTGAGCATGAGCAAGACCGGGACTGTAGGCTCCATTCTCTGGAGCAACATTAGGCCAGAATGAAATAGAGCTATTACCATCCCCCTTTTGGAGCTGAATGTCCAGATTTCTACCCAAACTTTTAGGTTTGTTGTTCTTACAGTCCTGGGTGCTGAGTAGTTCACTTACCTGAACACTCAAGCAGGAAACCATAAGTCCTTATAGCCAGGTTATTCCTGGGGTGATGATGCTGAATCAGTCTTCTGTCTGAGAAGGACCTACAACACAAGTCTTTCCTTCCCTGGTTGAATTACGTGACTGCAAGGCTACAATACAACACTTGGCCAGTGTCACCATGGTTGGTACCTAAAGAAGCTCCAGTGAAGGACCTCATGAGTTTAGGGGCATGCTGTGTGGGACTGTTCATGGACAGTGTGTGGGAATGTGGTCTTGGACCTAGGAAGGCTTCTGGTGCCTGCCTCCCAAATCAGGGTTTCAGCATGCTGGTTTTCACACTCCTCCATATGTTATTTCACTTCCTCAACTATATTTTATCATTTGAAATGAGTAAGCTATAAGTCATTTTTAATGTAGTAGAATTAGAGATGTTATTCCATTATCTAGAGTATCCCTTTTCCTTGTTTATTTGTTTCTGCCCTTTTACA